TGTGGTATTTTAAATCAATTTTTCCAAACCTTACTGAGGGTTTTTCCAGGAAAATCCCTTCAGTATTGAAGGTTATGTGCTGGATGGCAACACCGATAAGCCCTACACGTTGGTACTGACACAGGCATGTAAAGTGCAAGCTACAACTGACGTGGCTACTGTACGAAGGTGAGAATACACGCAGCCAGTCCGTGAAATGCTGCGATAGCCATCTGTCATATGAAGCGTAACTGTAAGCCAGCTTGTACAAACTTAGTACATCACTAGCTGGGAATTTTTTTTTCCAATTTTCAAAGGTGGCTTGATGTGTATGGATTGCGGTTTTATGTTGCTTGCATGATATATGGATTTATTTGTATGGACTCTTTTTTTTCACTCAGGTCGCGAGGTAGAAATATCACTAGTGAGACGTTTGTTTGCATGCACCGTGCTCAGCCAATGTTTGTTGAGCAGAAGGGGAATTTGTCAATGTACAGCAACTGGCATCAGGTCTGTTTTCGACGTCATCATACTCGTGGATCTTCGCTCTCCCTGGAGCGCAATGAAGCATGGGACAATGGCGAGTTTTGTTGCTTTAGGTCAACATAAACGAAGCTGAATCGAAGTTGAATTTGCTATACATGGGAATGTGCTCAACGAGGCCACGAACGGGTGTAAAACCTTTTTGGCGGTACAGTGTTGCAAATCGAGACCATGGGCAGTACAAAATGACTCATTCTTCATTTTGGGAGTACAGGAATAAGGTCGGTGCTTTTTGAACAACTTCTAGTGAAGCGAACAATTACTGACATTTATAATAGTCATCTTAAAGTTTATTTAAGTACTCAATGACTGAAATCTTGGCATCTTTTATGACCGGAAGGGCTCATGCGCTATAAAGCTGGTGTTGAAGTTTTTATTACGAGTATGTGCACCTTCATTATATGAAGTGCATTCAATGTCAGAAGTTTCATTTGATGCGTCAAATACTATGACCATTTGCCCTAATATCTGTGTATGTGAAGCGCAGCAGATACATGTAAAGTTGAAGCGATTGTAATTGGCATCACTGACAAGATCATAAGGTAAAACGATCGGAAAAACAAAAACCAACCATGGACGATCTAATGTGTCAAAAATCTTTGCTTAGGTCGTACTG